GGAGTGGCTTGAGCAAGCATGTATATGTGCCGAAGGTTGTAGAAGAGGAAGAGATAGTTGAGATTCCCACGTACACAACTTTGGTGGAAGTTCCGTGCCTGAGCTGCAAAAAGTCCTTGCAAGTCTCGGGTCAAGAACCACAGCCAAGCGCCTTTGAAGCACCGTCTTGTTGCTGCCCTTCACGTCGCGATTCCTTCTTACAGTTGCCCTACTGGTGCTTAAGAGGGAGTGGGGGAGCAGATCCTTGTGATCGTCCCCATATAATCCATATATATATATATAGCTCGAGAATGATCCCTGTATTCCCTCCCCCAATCTCCCTCAAGCGCCAGTAAGTCACTAGACTGAGATGATCTCCAACCTCCGGTTCACCTGAAACATCATCCCGAGGTCAGTATCTTTATGGGTATAACTCGGTATTTGACATTAGTATAATGGGGTAAGGTGGGGTATGTTGCCATATACGCTCACCAGCCTGAGATCTGGGACACTTGCAAGCCTGCATTGCTTTGCAGATCAGTGATCTGAGTAGTTGGGTTGGCAAGTTTCTGAGGCATGTGCAGGTCGTGGAGAGGCCTGTGGATGTTCCCAAAATCTGCCCAACCTACAAAGATGTGGAAGTGCCTCAGCTTCAGATCATCCAGCGCGAAGTCCAGGTGCCGAAGGTGCACCTGCAGGAGGTACCGAAGCCGGTGGAGGTGACAAGGGTCAAGTTCGCAGAGCGGGATGTGGAGGTGCCGAAGTTTCAACTCGAACCGCGCATGATCGAGGTCCCCAAGTTCGAGTGGCAGGAGGAGCTACACACGGTTACCAAGTTTGACGTCCAGAAGGTTCAAAGGACAGTGGAAGTCCCTCATGTCCGCAAGGTGAAGAAATATGTTGAAGTGCCGCAACCTCCGCAAGTCATCCCATTGAGTGAGATTGTTCCAACACACACTCCCCAGCCTCAGTCTCATACTGCCCCTATGCCTTCCATGGTGTCGCAATGCGCTGTCCCATACTGCATCTGGAGCTGATCGGAAATGTTTGGGATCGTTTATTTCGTCAGTTTTCAGATGATGCGCGGAAACGTAAGAAACCCCTCTGTGTTTCCAAAAGTCCATGTAAGTTTGGAGAAAGAGCTCTAAATCCACCTGAGGCATGGTACCCTGCATCCCTATGCCGGTGCCTATGTCTGCAGGGCATTGCTGCTCCGACTGTCGGGGAGATTGCTACCCAGTGCCGATCATTGGACATCATGAACGCCCTTGGCATGGACAGTCAGGGCAGTGGCATCAGACCAGTGGCTTCGTGACGAGTGATGTGAAGGATGATGCAACCACACCTTCAACACGGGCACCTGGATCACCAGTGTCGCGACTGTCGCGATCCCAATCAGCAATGCTGGGACACTATTCACCCATGGTGCCACATGGAGGGAGGATCGTAGCAGCTTCACCAAGTCCATCACCGATGAGGTCCTTGTCGCCAATGGTCCAGGCGCGTTCAGTGGCAGGGCATTACTCGCCCATGATGCCGAGGCCATTTCACCCTGGACTTCCGGGCCATCATTCGCCCATGCCGGCGCCTCGTGTGGTGCCGCCGTTCTCCCAGTTCCCAACGGCCTCTACACCTCACCTGACAGGGCAAGGAATTCCTCAACACGTTTCCACACGTGCAACGCTGCCAGCCGGTGTGAATTGAGTGGTGTTGGAAGCACCCGGAAGTCGTCCAGGGAGTGAAGCTTGAGCTCTTCCCAGTCGCGGACTTGCCAGCTTGTGGCAAACACCCGCAATGTCAAACTGCAGCTTTCGGCAGATTTCGGCTTAATTTTTCCTGGCATCAATGCCCAGTGCTGATACTGTCTGATGCAGTGCTTTTCCTTTAGCATCCTCTAGCATCCATTTTATTAGCATCGCGAAATCGATGCAAACACCTCGTTCAGCGCAACATGTATCGAGGTGTGTTCCGTGGGTTACCCCAGTCAAGCTGGGTCCGCTGACCGCACACTTTGCATTTCGCTGTTATGCTGCTCCTGCACAGTGCTTGGCAGCTCGCATGGAACTGGGAGGTAACAAGCTGACGGAATGGAGCTCACACGTTTTGAGGCAAATACGTTGAATTCTGGACTTTAGCAGAAGACTTCCCAAAATGCTCTCATTCAGGTCTTCGAAGCAGTGATACGGCATGTTGAAAGACGCAGTAAAACCTGTGAGCGGACCACCCCAAAGCTTTCTCCATGGATCCAGACTGCGTCGTATCCGCACCAGAAAAGGAGAAGCGAGTGCCACTACGCAAACGGGTGTGCTAGAAGGGCAAATTGGGGCGATACTATGCCTTTATGCGCCTTTATACGCTTTTCGTGACTACAGTGCACATGCAATTATGTATCTGCCAGTAGCCTCTGGATGTGCACGCAGTTAGCGCCATCCAGGCACAAGTGGCAGTGCGAAGTCTATGAGGGCCGGTCCAGAATCTCCGTATCGGTAATGATGCAGCTGCTGAACATAGCGTGCCTTCTTCCCAAGTGCATGCCAAAACAAACTGGGAAGCAGGCTGAGAGGTTGAGCAGCAATGCCCTTGCCAGGTGTCAACGTCTGCGCAGCCGGTATACCCCTCATGCCACGGGCGCCCGTCTCAGATGCTGCATGTGCCCATCTTTCTACAAGGACACGTCCCGCAATACTGAGCTAGGATCAGGGCGCGTCTGGTTAAGATGCTTGAATCCGCTCAACGACGCGGTAAGGCCTAAACTTTCCCTAAGTGCCTTTGGACTGCTCGGATATTCTTTCACAGGTACCGATCCTTGGCTGATACGGGTCTGAAGTCATATGACTGGCTACGCGCAGGATTTTAACAGCGACACGTCTGTTGTGCAGTTCGCTGGGGCGTAACACTCGTGGAGCCGGGGTCAAGGTTACGACACGCCCGCTGCACGCCACCGCGGCTCCCTTTTTGGCTTGCTCGGATGTCGCCGAGGCTGAAGCCGCAATTGCGGCTGTGGAGCGGCCCTCAAGTTTGCCAGTGCGAGCCGGGCTGCTGCGCAGGCCCCCAAACCCTAACCCTAAACACCTAAACCCTAAACCCCACATTGAAGCGACAACCTTGCCATCGTTGCGTACGGGTTTGGTAGGCTCGCCGGGCCTCCTTGCGGCCAGCATTCATGCGTTCGAACCCAGGTTCAAAGCTGTCTCCGGGTCTAAGAGTGTAAGAGTCTAAGAGTCTTCGCCGCAGCGAGTTCGTGAAGCATGAAGGGAGCACGAGAAACCTGGCCGGAGAGAGAATTCTAAGTCTGAGTTTCGAGTGGTTGCGTGGTAAGTTTGGAACCTCGGCATTTCAGTTCGTTGCAACTCAAGACCTTGGCAGGCCCTACATACCGGCAGCTCACGGCAACGGACCCTTCCCATGCACTTCGGTGGGCTGGGGGGCCAAGCTCCCCCTGTCGCGCAGGATTGTTTTCCAAGGTTTCTGACAGGTGCTTACAAGGTCTAGGACTGCAGGGCTTCACCTCTCAGGAAGTTTCCGTTTCCGGCCTCATTCTGCAGAGGCTTACAGAGCATACCAAGCCCAGAACCTCAATGAAAAGTTTCGAAGCCCTCAACACGCGAAGCCGCAAGCTCAGCCTACATAGCATAAGAACCCATCGATCCGAGCCTTCGACATCCCTCAGCCCCAAGGCACAGACTGAAGCTCATACTATACACGAAAACCTGAACGCCTACCCTTCTACAGCCCAGCATCACTCAACACAAACTTTCAACCCTACGCCGTATCCCTAAACACCCTAAGCCCTAAACCCTAAACCCCTAAACCCCTAAACCCTGAACCCTGAACCCTAAACCCCCTTATCTAGCGTCCCAAAGCGGTAGCCGAGCCCTCCGAGGCCGTTGCTCGGCGACTCCTCGGCGCGCCGGAAAAGGCGATGGGGAATGGGGCGGGGCTGTTTAAAGGCCTCATTGGATGTGTCTACAAGTTGCAAGCATCTTGTCCATTTTTTTCAGGTGTTCGTAGCTCATTCAGGTGTCCGCTTTTTCAGGTGTTCATATCATAGCTCGTTCAGACCTTGCTTGCAGTTTTCGGGACATGCGGGATGTGTCGATTGTTGGCTTGAGGCCCGGCCCGGCGCTCTCTTCCCATACCTTGCTCTGGGCCCCGCCACAGGGAGCAGTCAGACATTCGCAGAAGCACGGATTCCTGGAGTCTGAGCTCGCAGACTTTGGTCAAACCGACGATACCGATACCGCTGCCAAAAGGCAAAACATACAACCTTAGCTTCAGGAGCCATGCCCAGGCCACACAAGGAATCCCATCATAAAACCAGGCTGTTAGGCTTCGAAATCAACAAGGAAAAATCAAGCTCCACCTGCCAAGGACTTTGAGCTCGCTTCATCTTGGCGTCGCTCTGACCAGCGGAAAAGATGGTAAAGGCCCCGGCAAGAAATATGCACACAAGGCGTCGCACAGCCTCCAAGCCTCGTTGCTGAGCAAACGCTAGGGTTCATGTGTTCCGTCTTGATGCAAGCCGTTGACGTCTTGTTACCAACTCCAGCATTGCAGCGAAGCAAGATCACGTGTCACAGCGATTTCGGAACCGTGAAAAAGCTGCTGATCGGCTACTCCCAGCTAGGCTGCTGCAAGCCCTCAGTTGACTCAACCGGGGTTTGAAAAGATGCCAATACCTGGACATGCTTGAACCTCAAATTTTGCAGGCTGTGGAAAGGCTACTGCTTTTCCTGGGTCCTTTGGCTAGAAAAATGCGTTCTTCGCAGAAGATGGGATGATGTCCTGAAAAGAGATGTGGGGAGCTTTGGTAAATTGCCCAGCATAGATAGAAGCATAGAATCTTTGATGTTGTTGCAGCAGTGCGTCGCTGCAGGTCTGCGTTGAAGATGAGAATCTTCTCTGGCTTGCGTAGGCTGAAGCCCCCTGGACCCTGTTCAGGTGAGCTTGTTCGGATCTACGAGGCTCGCTCGGGCGTTCCGGGCGAGGGTGAGGGGGTACCGATGATACCTTCTTTAGACTTGGGGGAAGGAAGCCGAGGCTTTGGCTGAAGGCCAGAGGCTTCAAAACGAGCTCCTAAAAGGGAGCCCTTATGCTATGGAGCCGTAGGAGTTCTTGGGGACATCCCCAAACTGAACCTCCGCTAAAGGAGCCCCTTTATAGATTGCAAAGAGGGACTGGTGCTTCGGGCCAATGCATTTTTTTTTGTCGCAGCTTGCTTGAACGGATCCCAGGGAGCTTCTGGACCCTGGACGTCCAAGCAAATTCGGCCTGGCCCGGGCTCCAGAAAGTTTCTCTCTGTAAACCCTTAAACCCTAAATCCTAAGCCCCACACCCCAAACCCATGAGGGCAGCAAGGAGCAGCGCAGCAGAATGCTGAGGAGGCTGCCGAATTATCAGTCGCAAGCGCATGAACTGACAATGGCAACCGACTGGCAGCACTGCTGAAAGGCGAGATCCGATATTTTACTCGAACGATCAAGATTCGAATGCGCCCTTGCTGGAACCGAAGAAAGACGCAGCCGGGGCCTGCTGCCCACCTTGGATGGTGCTGATGGGCATGTACAGGGTCGGGCCATCCCTGGCCGGTTTAGAGTTTAGGGTCTCTCCCCTCCCGTTGAGGTTGATCTCTCCGAGGCTCCGAGGGCACAGAGGTTTCCAAGTACGGTCAAAGGGCGAAACCGTCTCAAGGGGATCTGAGTCGCAAAGGCTTTTGTGTACCTCTGTGCAACTGTGCAGGTATGCAACTTCTATGACTAAGGCATTTCAGAAACATTGAGGCTTGCACATTGAGCCGTTTGGGCTTCACGACTCTTTGCCTGTGTTTACGCTCGAATCGCACGGCAACTCAACCTGCCTTGACACAACTTTGGCTCAGGCTCAGCCCCTGTACAGTTTAGGGCCGTTCGGGTTTCAGGGCAAGCTGTCCGCTGTAATCATGGGCTGCGGCGGAAGTCTTGAAGCAGCGCCAACGGAGACGATACCCGAAAAGGCCTAGACCCAGGGTTGAACTTTGAACCCTCAAGCCTAAACCCGAAGCCCTCAAATCCTAAGCCCTAAGCCCGTAACCCCAAAGCCCTCAGACCCTAAATTCTAGGCCTAAGCCCGCCCTCCTCAACCCCGAAAGCCCAAGGCCCAAGACCCTGAGCCATCCCAAGGCCTCAAAACCCAAAGCCTTCAAGCCCAAAATCCCCAAACCCCAAGCCCCGAGAATCCCTAGACCCTTCAACCCAAAGCCCTGAAACCCTGAACCCTAAAGCCTTAAGCCCAGAACCCCTCCCACCCTTCGAGAAGGTGCACAAGATGAAGGCAAGCCGCGAGGAGCGCGAGAGAGCCGAGATGATCCGAAGCAGCCGGGAGAAGATCAACCGCAATCCAAGCCCTTAAGCTGAGCTTTTTTTTGAGGGAGTTCTTGGGGTTACTAGGGTTTTTTTGAGGGTTCGGGGCACTGAGGTCTCTTGTGGTCTTGTGGTTTGAGTTGGCCTGGCTTGATGTTTTCAATGGAAAGAATATGACCGTATCGGTAGCATCAGAAAGTGAAGTTGACAACAGCGATCATAGTGATACGAATGCTAGTCACCGCCACCATCATCATACAACGACCGTATCCCTAAGCCATAGACTCTCCCGCAGAAGTTCCGGAGCCAATCCTTCACCGACAAGACATGCCTAAACCCTAAACCCTAAACCCTAAACCCTAAATG